CCCCCCGCCGCCACACCCACCGCGCCCCCCGCCGCCTCACCCACGCTGACACGTAAATTTGGTTTACATTATTTTATTCCAGCGATCTAATTAATTGCTGGATTCAAATTGAATTGAAAATATTTACTGACAATCTTCACTGGAAACAACCACATTGTGGAAAAAGAATTCCATGTTGTTAAAATAAAATTAATTTAAAATTAAAATTCTTAAAAACAAAAATTATTTTGATTTGAAACGGCCAGTGATGCAAAAAGGCAATTTCATAGGTAAACAACTACATATTATTAGTTCTCGTTAGTTTTATTTAAAAGCTGCATGATGCAGTGCAGTGCAGTACCTGTCTGGTGTGCGGTGGGTGCGGGGGGCGAGCGCGGCGAGCAGCGCGGGCGCGGCGGCGGCGCCGGAGTACACGCGCCACCCCCCGCCCGGCAGCGGCGGCGCGGGGCGCGCACGCAGCAGCGCCGCACAGCGCCACGCCGCGCACAGATCTGCGCACACGCACACGCACACCCGCCCGCTCGTACACAGCGCAGACGCAGCGCAGACGCAGCGCAGACACAGCGCAGACGCAGCGCAGACGCAGCGCAGCGCAGACACAGCGCAGACGCAGCGCAGACGCAGCACAGACACAGCGCAGACACAGCGCAGCACGACTGCTCTCACTCGGACTGACTAAATACTACTTTGCAGGTGATATAACTGCACCCGCCTGCCGGACTGCAACGTGCATTCGTGTCGTTCTGCGCACGCGTCTCCCCTCGCTACAAATTAATTCTCCCGAATAATATCTCAGGCAGCACACACCTCTACTGCTGTTGTACTGCACGGAGCGCAATAGTTGCGCCACTACAGCCGCGCCTGGGGCCGCACCGCCGCCTGGTGCCGCCCCTGCGGCCTCTGTCGTCGCGGCCGGTTCATCTGTTGCCAAGCTCCTGTATAACATAATTTAAGTCGTCGAATGAGTGTCCCGAGCGGTAGAGCGCTGCGCCGCGCACCGGGCGCCGTGTCTTTGTAAAAACAGCAGCGTCGCGTCTCAAAAGTTTAAATATATCGGGGAGAAAAAAATGATAAGCACTCGGCGTAGTCTATCGCGGGCTGCAGCAGCCGCGACCAGGGCAGGCGGCCCAGCTGCGCGTGCAGGGCCGCCAGCGCCGCCAGCAGGCGCGGCGGGCGGGCCGGCTGCGCGTCCCAGGCGCGAGCCGCCGCGCCCCCCGCACCCACCGCGCCCGCCGCGCCCCACTCGGCCAGCGTGGGCGCCGCCTCGTGCTGGCGCCGGTAGTCCCAGTACAGCAACGACCCGCTCCTGTAACGTACGGACTTCGCTGTCACTTTCCATAACGCATTACTAATATACAAAACTATATTTTCAAATAATCTAATATACAAAGTTATATAAAATGTATTCTGGAGATACGGACGCGTCGAGCGCGGCGAGGCGGTGCGGCGCGGCAGCGGCGAGGCAGAGCGCGGCGGCGGCGGCGGCGTCCAGCGCGCCCCCGCCCGCGCGCAGCAGCCGCGCTCCGCCCGCAGAGCACGCCGGCACCGAGGCCGACACCGAGCCGTGCGGCACCACCTGCCGCACCACACACATATACACATCATTACTTTGTATAATTGGCACTAATATCTTGACTAAATAGTAAGCAACTGCTGGTACCGAAAGCATCAATCGGCCAATATTCCCGGTTCGAAAAGCTGCAGTTCATAAAGGGATGCAAGAAATAAAAAGTATACTCACTGTACTGTAGTTCATACTCTTTTGCCATGAAGAAAAGGAGCAAGAAATGCAAAAGAACAGTTTATTTAAAGGGACACAAAAGTTCATGTGGACCGTCAGAGGTGAAATGGGATAAGCGTGAGGTGAGATATAATCGGATATTATTTCACTGAGAATTTGAATGACACATATAAGTATGAAGGAATACATTAATTGGGAGCCTTCTGTGTTTCCGAGCCTAAGCTGGACTGGCCGGGCGGGACGAGCCACAACACTCTTTAGATATTTGTGGTGTTGGTTTGAGGCTCACCTCATAGTCTCCATAGTATATCTGGGTGAGCAAAGCCAGTGTGACGGCGGCAGAAAGTGCAGCGAAGGCGGCGGCGATAAGACGGGGCCCCGCGCAGCCCGGGCGCGCCTCGCCACCGCCCTGCAGTGGTACGTCCTCGCGCAGCTCCACCGCACCTGTATCACAGTGCACAACCGTCTCTCTAAACTGTTCCAGCTCGTGAGCCGCTGCCCCACCAGAGGAATATAGTGCTGCACTGCTAGTATTCACATAAATGCACATAATTCCTAACAAGTATTGTAAATACCGAGATTTAAATCTAAGAATTATACGATGACCATTTTCACATTGACGTTGTGCTTTATATTTAATGACATTATGAGGCCTACAATTATATGATGATTTATAACTGTTTTGAAGTCACATTATATGAAAGAGATTCATATAAGTTTTTTTAATAAATTAAGTCCCCAGTAAAACTTAAAAACAATTAAACCCGACCGTTTCCTATAGTTTAAAACAATTTAATGTAAACTCTTACCAATACCTCAAAAGAACCTTACGATTAATTTATAATTGGATAATGTTCATTTCTCTCAATTCGCAATCTAATTCCTGTATTAAAATAAAAAAAGAAACACAAACCAGCCGACAAAAATCACATTTCACATTTGATTGATGTGTCAAATTGACATTGACGTTAGTAATTTGAGTTTGAAGGATGTTCTGCAAAGAGCTATTAAAGATGCTCTGTTTGTTTTCGGTCTGGCTTGGTGAGAGGCGCTGCTGTAGCGGTTAGTTCTGTCAAAAATTGCATAAGTCTAAGAGAAAGACGTGAACATAGGAATACACCCTGTGGTACACGAAGTGCATTTTGTCTAACTTTTCAGTTCCATACATTTTTGAAGCTGGCTATGAATTCTGTTCGAATCGAATGCATTTTGTCTAACTCCTACGAAAATATGGCCCAAAAAAACCTGCGGAACTTTTTTTTATAAGATTAGGGGGCAAACGAGCAGCGGGAACACCGAGGTGTTCATGGAAGCCCATGGATATCAACAAGATCAGAAGAACCGCAGATGCGTTACCGGCCTTTGAGATGGTAATACGCTCGCTGCTTAAAGGACCCGTAACCCGGACCTAAGTCATAGCGGTTTGGAAATACCGCAAAGGACAGACCATTCCACAACGCGGCTTTGCGAAGGAAATTCGTAGGTAGAAGGTAGAAAATTCCGCGAGAACCGCACGGTTTTGGATCGTCAGCCATCGAGATGGTGTGGATGGAACCTGGCGGTCTGTCGTGTCGTCCAATGACGGAACTCGGCGGCAGGAATCGTTCCAAACAATTCTTTAGAGCACTCCCCGTGGTAGATACGGTATAAAATGCAGTGAGATGCAATGCAGAGAGAACTAACGACCCTCCACAAGGCCAGACTGTCGAGCCGATCAGTAAGAGCTCGGTCGTTGACGATTCGAATCGAGTAGCGAATTTGTTATAGATTGAAAAATCATACCAGGCGGAGGGTTATCGATACGTTCTGAGAGAGCTGCGGCCGCCAGTGCCATAGTGCGTTGCTTAATGTTCTATGGCAGCAGTAACTGAAATTGGAACATAATATAAAGCTTATCGTTATGACACACGTCGAACCTAATGTTTCACATTCTGTCTATGGTAGTAATGCTAATATCTAACGGAACGGTTGTGCAACGCAAAAAACCGTTACCGTAAGAGCGAGCGAGATAGGTGTATATGTTACTTAGGAAGCATCAACAACGGCGAATACTAAGATTTATCGATAAACATAAGATCTACCGATCGGTTATTAAATCCGAAAAGATATGTATATTTTGAGCTTTTAATGATACCTAGATATGTTTCTTACTCAAATTAAATTGCTCAATTCTTCATATTTAAATGATGATAGACATCATGATAGTCGTCTTGGTTTTAATCAATTTAGTCTTCGTTTAAACAATTTTGTATATCTTACCTTCTTGTGCCCGTCACTTCACTTTACCCAAAAACGGTTAGATAAATAACGGTAACTATTGCATAGTGTGTAAAATTAAATTAATTTACACAGTGAACCAGTTGGGGGCACCGCTCGTGTCGCGTGCTGAAATAATACCGTCACTCGGCGCTCAGAAACCGTAACCATAAACAAAAACAATCGCAGATCAAATAATAACAAATAACTAGAGGCGCCCGCGCCGGCGCGGAGCAAGATGTGCGGGGACACGGGGGCGGCCAGCCGAGCCGCCAACCGCCACGCCACTGGCTGCGGCCCCGCGCTGTCGTCACGCGCCGAGCGCCGCACCGAGCTAGCTACCTAGCTATAGCTAGTTTGGTCTGCATATGACTTTCACTCGTTAATCCTCGCAATAACGATTCATTCCGTGAAGTTATCCATTCATGATTTTTTTTAATACGTGTCTTTGGTGCAGTGGGTTAACTACTGGACTCCAACTGGACCGTCTTCGATTCTGTGGTGTTAACCAATTCTACGGCTTTTCCGAATTTGCATTTGTAAAATGAATTTATTTTTATGTATTAAAAGAAATCTCTTTTAGCGTAGGACTGTCTTAACGATCCCAAAAATAGCAATGCTACTTCGCCATTTGGGGGCCTCGTGAAAGAGAACTTGCCGACATCAAATTTTGCTCTTGCTCCGCTACTGTTTTATTTATAATGCATTTTTTTTCTAAAATTGAGGAAAATGCAGTGTATTAAAATCATCCAAAAATCACTTATTACTCGATTTATTTATCATAGGTATTCTTAATGTCATACATTTTATATATATATAATAATAAGAACAATTATTTTTATATATTATAAATGAAAATGTTTAGATAAGAATGGATGGATGAATGGATCTTTGTTTGAAGGTATCTCTAGAACGGCTGGACGGATGTCGATGAAATTTGCCATACATATAGAACGTAGTCTGGAAGAACACATAGGCTATAATTTTTTTTTAATTCCGCGCGGACGGAGCCGCGGGCCACAGCTGGTATAGTATAAACGCACAGTGGATCAGTGCGCGCACACACAAAGATAACGCTAAATTCATCAAAAACAAACGTCTAAAATATTTTTAACAAACACATTGTGTTTGTGAAAATTACAGTCGAAGCTGAATAAGCGCGACCCCATAGGACCGCGAAATTTTTCTCGCTTATAGAATTTTCACTGTGACCCGAGTTTCTTGCTATGGTTTTTACTAGATAATTCAAAGTTATGGTAAAACGTAAGTCAACAATACAATCAAGAGTTACTTAAACGTAGAAAGTGCGAGACAACGGCAGGCGAATTGCTCTTCATCAATTCACAACGTCAACTATGACTCAAAAGATATTCTTAGGCTTCATGAATTCAAGCCAAGCTTGTAATCCTCCAAATCCTTCAGCCTACACTTAGCCTTGAATTGTGGCTTAGGTTGTACAGTGTTAGGTGGGAAGCCTCGCGTCACGTGGAGCGTCTTAGCGCTAACAGGATGACAGGTGACGCGGGCGCGGGAAGCCCCGCAGCCGAGTAATCCTGTATATATGGCGAAGCGCGCGCCGACAGGCACAGTACATCACCGGCCCCAACATGGTGTACAACTTTAAGGTGTTCAAGAAGTGCTCGCCCAACGGCAAGCTCACACTCTACATGCCCAAGCGGGAGTTCGTCGATCATATATCTTTCGTGGAGCCCATAGGTTGGTTTCGCGTATGGACTTCTCTTTGGGAAACATAGGAGGCCGAGGAGTCCGAGTTTCATAATATAAAGTAACCGCTCAACCCCTAAACTTTTCGTTCATTTATGTAGAAAAAAGAAAGAACATGACCACTGGGGG